AGACGATCAAACACTGCACCACTAATGCAGGTGTATCAAAATGTTCTGTTTTTTATTTTTAGTATTTTTTCCCCCAGCATTTAACAACAAAATATTTTACCATCTGAAAAGGGGGAAGCAGTCATTTTAGCTTTACAAGTAACTACGAAAGCTGCAGCTTGGCGTTTAATTTACATTAAAAACAACTGATGCACAAGATGTTAGTGATGGTTTCAAATGGCCGACGAGTCCTTCTTCGTCTTCGGGAAGTAAACAAACATTCTGTTGATGGATTTCATCTTTTATCTTCAGAGCTTATATGGAACAGGAATCAGTTTCCTCTGCTCCTCTAGAATGCCTAATCTTCAGCAGAGATGGTGACATGCGATGGAAAAATGTATGAGGGATTCATCCTGATCCTGCCTGCCTGTTATCCACCTGAACCGCCGATAGAAACCAGCTGCTCTGAGCTTACTTCAACATGCTGGTGTTTAAAACCTGCTGTGTGAAGGGGAAGAATTACTGCCCCACTTACACAAGTGCTTATTGGAATAGTCAAACTGGGGCCATATCTGAACGACTCAGGAATTGTGACAGCCGCTTGAAATGAGAAAAAGGCTCACCTTTCCCAATAAGCACGCCGATTTTAGAGTCCAGCAGGCGCTCCGCACGTGCACAGTTGCGCATTACCAGTTTGAGGACTGGCAGAAAAGGCCGAACGTCGCACAGTCGGCGGGTTTCATCCTCCAGTTCTTCGTGTACGGCCGCCTGGTTGACACACTCGAACATGTGGCTCTCCATTTCTCCAAGGGAGGGAAAGAGCGGGAAGGTCTGAGCCTGCTTCCATAAGAGCTGAAGAGGGGCAGAAAGAATCAGAACCGAATAAGAGCTTTTTACTGACCACAACAGAGCTAATCAAATCTATCTCACTTCAAGATAACTGGTTTTGGAACAGCTACCATCACATTTATGCAGGAGCTGAGAAGGGGATTTGTTTTCTTGTCTTTGATAAACAGCAGCACTTTTAATACTTGACAGCACACCACGGAGCATGCATGACTCAGAAACAACAAAATCCATGCTCAATAATCCAGGTATACAATCCAACATTTTTCAGTCAGGTCATCCGGACAGTTTCTTTTTTCGTGCTAAAACGTTTTGCCTTCAATCCGGAAGGCTTCATCAGTCAAGGTATACCTGGATTATTGAGCATGGACTTTGTTGTTTTCAACCAGTTTGACATGACTGTCAACAAGGAAGAGGGCCGGCAATGGAGGAGGGGGCGTGACAAACCGACCATCTAGCACTAACCAAACTGGTTTGTTCCACTTTGGAGTAAGCTGTTGAGGGAAGAATCAGTTTTGTTGTGCATTTCCTTGACTGATGAAGCCTTCTGGATCGAAGGCGAAACATTTCAGCACAAAAAAAGAAACTGTCCAGATGACCTGACTGAAAAATGTTGGATGACTCGGAAACATTACAGAGCTTATGGGTAACACTGTTAGGACAGTGTTGGCAGGATTCGTGTCTCTGAATCCCCACAGCATGACATCGGATGTCAACGGCAGGTTTATATGAAAACACAAGCTGGAACAAGATTCAATAAACTTCCTAAAAAAATTAACATCGTAACACATCTGAGATTTTGGGCTGATTATATTTCTCTAGACACCTCATGCACAAAGTGAAAAGGTTTGTCATTTAATAGAGTAATCCTTTTAAGATGCCATCTTTTGTCCATAAACTTCCTTCACCTTCTGTGTTTGAACAAGAAATACAAGTTCAATGATTTTCAAACGTCAACTTGTAAGAGTCTAAAAAGGGCCTGATTTCCAGGAAACAGGATCTAGTCCTCATCATGAATGAATAAAAGCTTATGAATGAGTAAAATCTTCACACACAAGCCTGCTGTTTGACCTCTGCAGGCAGACAGGCTTTGACCACACAATCAGTGGTCAAAGTATTCCAGCGTGTTGCTAAACCAAAAATATCCCATCTGCCTTCCTCCTACGGGACATTTTTAAATTTAGAAAAAAGAAGCACCAGAGATGTCTCTGGGTTTTTGCTGCTTCAGCACAAAGTATTTTAGAGAAAGAGGACCTCCCACGTGTCTTTATCAAACATATTTTGTGAATGCGTATCCATGTAGAAAGCATTAGACCTCATTGCTGCATTATCACAATATTCTACAGAGACTTGAAAATGATATTGGGATTACAGGAATCGCTCTAAAATGGTTTAAATCATATTTATCTGATAGATTCCAGTTTGTAAATGTAAATAAGGAATCTTCTTCATACACCAAAGTTAATCATGGAGTTCATCAGGGTTCAGTGCTTGGACCAACACTCTTTATATATGATTCCATTAAGTAAAGTTATTAAACAGCATGGAATAAATTTCCATTGTTATGCTGATGATACAGTTTTATTTGTCCATGAAACCTGATGAATCCATTCAGTTACTTAACAGACCTTCAGTCTTCATGTCCAGCTGATAAAACCAGAAGAAAAAAAAGACAATAATAGGAGACTGCAATGAAACAAAGCCTACAGACCAGAAGTGACAATAACAACTATCCTTAATAAAACTTCCTATGGATCCACTGTGATTGCATATTGTTGTGTAGTCATGATCAAAGCTGGAACACCTTTAATTTCATGTCAGAGGTTGATGTCAGTCATTTTGAATCACTCTAAAACCTACACCCACAGAAAAGTTGCTGACATGAATAACTTCTCTCACACACAAACCACCCAACCAACCGCAGCTTTGACGGCTGTCAGAACACGTACTGGGATCATCTTGGACTAAACTGGCTGTCTGATTTTTAACGTGTGTGGGACACAATTTCTGCTTCTGCGTAGTAAGACCTTTCAACTTTTAAAAGATGGGTTACTGAATTTATTAGAATTCATAAGACTAACACAAATATACTCAGAAGCCCACATCAGCATGGCCAATAATTTTCTGTAAGTTCAGTTGATGCAAAGAAACTTTTGCTCACATTCTTATCTTTACCGTCCCAACACAGCACCACTCACCAGTTTGATGTGCTGAATTGTAGCCTCTCGAGGAACATCCATCTGGATGTAGATCCCAGTGGGCAGCAGAAAGTCCACGGTGATCTGGTCCGGAGCATGTCCGGCCAGGGGCGAGTGGGCCGCCCAGATGTCCAGGAGGTCTGTCATGGCGGGAGGCATGGCAAGGAGAACCTAACACCACCTCAACCATAAGGACCTGGAGGGACAGAAAACGGAACAACACCAAGGTTCAGGTTGGGTTTTAAAAGCTCCCTTCAATAATTAATTATTACAGAAATAAATTATCGCCTAGTTTAGAAAGGTGACAAAAAGACTTACGATCTAACAAAAGAACAATTAAAAAAAACATGTCCGGGCTGCTGTTGATACCCATATTGTTTTACATTATTAGTGTTTAGTGTATATTTTAGATCTATAAGCGTATTGTTTGGAGTTAGTTTAGCGTATATCTTACATCCATATACAGTATACGGTTTCTTTTTACACTTTATATTTTTGATATTTTGGGTGTAACTGGGACCCCAAGTACATAATTTCATTCCACCTCATGTACCACATGTGATGCGAATGACAATAAACTTGACTTGAACAGGTAACTACTTTGGGGTTTATTTTGAATTCAACATACAGAAAAGCAAACTGAAACTGGTGATGGCTCCGACAGTAAATCTCCTGCCCTCAACGTGGTCAAGTTAAAATAGTGAGAAACATGGATTAACAAGAGTACCACACATTATACACAGGTTGAAAAAAAACACAGCGATCTATAGCAACAACCTGGACAAGCAATGACCTTGAATATCCTTTGACCTTGATTTGTGCCCTTGATCTTAGAGCTGGTGATGAAAAGATTACGCAACATGCTGTCTAGTGGTGGTACAAATGTGTATCAAGTTTTATTAAAGTATCTTGAGCAGATCAGAGGTTATGAGCAGGACAAGAGAAAGTTTATGGACTGACAGAGATTACACCACAATACGTCCGCCTTTTGTCAGGCACATAAAAATAATTTGAAAAAGCAGTTTGTGGCCGTTAAAACAATACTAGCAGCAATCTAACCAGCATTTCAGTCACTTGTGTCATGTTGTTTTTCCTCACATAAAGATTAAAAAAAGAAGTTTATGTCACCAAGAGAGAGGCTGTGTCCCTGTGAGGGCAGCACTGTGCCAAGTCTGGTGGGAAGCTGCTGGATTTCATCTGGATGAGGGCCAGTGCTCTGAGGAATGCCCACTAAGCAAACAGAACAAAAAGTTCAGCTTGCTTTGCCTTCATCTGACAACCCCCCTTCCCCCTCCACACCAGAACATAGTACAAACATAATAAAAACACTCAGGTATTAGAAGATAACTGCATTAACACACTGTCCCTCAACACACGTACTGTACTTGCACAAAGTTGCCAACATAATTAATAAAAGCGTGACAGGAGGAAGGTTTTGTTCAGAAACACCTAGACCTTCATAAATATAATTCATAATATACCCATACAATACTAAATATTTACTTCAAATAACAGTGAAGATATGCAATTCAAGGACATACATCTATGATCCTGCACGCTGTGTATGGAGAGCAGAGTTCCACTGAAATGCAGTAAGTAATGGCTTAAAACAGCCCCACAGCCTGGTTTCCATTTGGGCCTGTGCATCAACCTCAACCGTACTGTCGCACCACTTCCACCTGAAAGTTTCTCATGAAGTAGCCTGGTACATTAACTCCTCCACTCGTCCGCAGGTCCATCTCCATTTCAGCTCAATCAGCCCATTAGAAATGATCGTCCTGATTGCCTCTAATGGTCGTATCCCCTCAGAGTTAAGTGCTCGAGCAACCAGCAGATGAGTGCAGAAGGGTGCGATGAAGCCACAATCTCAGGCACTTAACATCATTAAGCATACAAATGGAAACAATTCTGCAGTCTGTGTGCTGCTCAGACTTATTGCTGTCAGAACAAGAACTTTGATGTTATTGCATGAGATAAGAGAGGACACAATCTTCAAAACATAAAAAAAGCAGCCACACGTGGACCACGCAGAAATGGCGTGACACACACATTTAGAGGAGGCATATGAAATGCATTGACAAACTTATCTCGTCACAAATATGTACAACAAACACAAGAAGTAAGTAGCTTGACACAGTCATGACAGCGCCGTCCTGTCAGAGGAGGATGAGCATGTGCGCTCATGTCTGCATGTGAAAACATCTCCATAATTATGGGTTTCAGCAGTGACGTTTTCACAGTAGACAGCTTGAACACTGTGATGTCAATGCTTTCAGGTTCTCTCTCTCTCTCTCTCTCTCTCTGTCTCTGTCTCTGTCTCTGTCTCTGTCTCTGTCTCTGTCTCTCTCTCTCTCTCTCTCTCTCTCTCTCTCTCTCTCTCGCACACGCACGCATGCACACGCACACACACAGTTACTTTACATGCACAGGTGAGCAGGGTTAAAGAGGATGTGGTGGCAAACTGCCAGAGTTCTGCTGCTAAGGTCAGGTTTCAAAGGAAGGATTAAAAGAGAACAAGTGAGTTTGCAAGACTGGGAAGATTGGATTGTTTCGTGTGACAACACAGAGGAGACTGAAATGATACAGTCAGTAAACGAATAGCAAGCAGACTAAATGAAGTACAAGCTCTGAGAGCCGCCTGTTTAAAGGTACGGAAATATGATTCCAGATATGTGCTTTCTCTAGTTTTTTTTTTATGAAAAGTGTGGAAGATTTACAGATTAAGCGACTTTAGCAAAATCACCTCTTTCAGAGAACAACTGGATACTTGATGTCTAAGATTTCTTTAGGCAGCATTGTCTTGAATGGGTTTCCAGTAACAAAATGTGATGAGGTCAAAAGAAAGGAGGCACCGGTGATTCACTTCCTCTGATTAAATATCTGCAGATTCACTGAGAAAATGCTGAAAGTTAAATTTTAGAAAGAGATACAAGGTCAAAAAGATGCTGATCTTAAGGAAAACTTTCATTTTGTTAATGATTATATTGCAAGCCCCTGAAAAGCACAGTATGTGGGTAACTACTGTATAATTTTAACTATATATATGTATTCAAATACCTGTCAGTTAGCAAGACACCTTATGAGTCACAAGACAATTTCTAAAGGAGCACTCAAAGTAATATACATCTACAACGGATTAACTTATGTAATCAATGCAATTCAAGATGGCTGCCAAAGCTAATCAATATTAGGCAACACTAAAAATGACTATAACTCAGCTGATTTTACATATATTAAGCTAAAATATGATATGATAGGAACATGATCCATCCATCCATTCATCTAATCATCCATCTTCCGCTTGTTCCCAAGTCGGGTCGTGGGGACAGCAGCTTGAGCAGGGAGGTCCAGACGTCTCTATCTACAGCCACCTCTTCCAGTTCTTCTGAGAGGACTCCAAGGTGATCCCAGGCCAACTGAGACATGTAGTCTCTCCAGCGTGTCCTGGGTCTTCGCCGAGGTCTCCTCCCAGCTGGACATGCCTGAAGCACCTCCCTAAGGAGGCACCCAGAGAGCATCCTTACTAGACGCTCGAACCACCTCAACTGGCTCCTCTCAATGTGGAGGAGCAGCAGTTGTACTCCGAGTCTCTCCCAGATAACTGAACTTCTCACCCTATCTCTAAGGGAAAGTCAAGCTACCCTGTGGAGGAAACTTATTTTGACCACCTGTATCCGCAATCTCGTTCTTTCGGTCACTACCCAGAGTCATGGCCAAAGGTGAGGGTAGGAATGTTAACAACTGTAAACAGAGAGCTTACTTTATAGCTCACCTCCCTCTTCACCCCAATGGACCAGCAGAGAGTATGAATTACTGCAGACACCATACCAATCCATATGTCAATCTCACACTCTATTCTTCCCTCACTCGTGAACAACATCCCGAGATACTGAACTCTTCCACTTGAGGCGGAACCTAACCCTCGACCCGGAGAGAGCAATCCACCCTTTTCTGACTGAGGACCATGGCCTCAGATTTGGAGGTGCTGATTCTCATAACAGCTGCTTCACACTCTGCTGTGAACCACTCTAGTGAGAGCTGAAGATCACAATACGATGAAGCCAACAGGACTACATCGTCTGCAAATAGTACAGAACGGCTCCTGAGGCAATTGAAACAGACTCCTTCCGCCCCCTGGCAGCACCAAGAAATTCTGTCCATGCAAGTAATGAACAGAATCGGTGAAATTGGGCAGTCCTGGCAGAGTCCAACTCCCACCATGAAGGGATCCGACTTACTGCCGGCAATCTGAACCAAACTCTTGCACTGTTTGTATAGGAATCGAACAGCCCATAGCAACAGACCCCCAATTCCATACTTGTGGCGCACGCCCCACAGTGTACCCCAAGGAACATGGTTGAACGCTTTCTCTATGCCCACAAAACACATGTAGACTGGATGGCCAAACTCCTATGATTCCTTAAGGACCCTAGTGAGGGTAAAGATCTGGTCCAGTGTTCCATGGCCATGATGGAATCCGCATCATTCCTCTTGTATCCGAGGATCGACCAATGATCAGACTCGCTTCTCCAGTACCCCTGAACAGACCTTACCACAGAGGCTAAAAGGCATGATACCCCTATAATTGTAACACCCCTCACCCCCACCCCTTTTTGAAGTGGGGAACCACCACCCCAGTCTGTCAATCCAGTGGCACTGCCCACAATGTCCACACAATGTTGCAAACACGTGTCAACCAAGACAGCCCTACAACATCCAGAGCCTTGGAAATCAGGGTGGATCTCATACACCCCCAGAGCCCTGCCACTGTGAAGCTTTTTAACTACCTCAGTGACTTCAGCTAGTTATGGACAGACCAACCCAGAAGTCCCCCAACTCAGCTTCCTCCATGAAAGATATGCTGGTGTGATTGAGAAGGTCCAAGAAGTATTCCTTCCACCTCCCGTCCACATCAGCAGTTTGGTAGGCAAGGCACTTGGTTCTTTAGACAGGATGGAGGCACCATGCTTGTATAATGGTAAGGAAAACACTGCTTATGTTTGAACATGATGTTTGTGATGGACAAACTATGACTAGCACATAAGTCCAAGAACAGAACACTGCTCTAGTTCAGATCAAAGGCCATTCTTCCGAATCTCACCCCTCCAGGTCACACTGTTGTTACCCACATGGGCACGGAAGTCCCCTAGGAGAATAAA